TGGAAATTACAAACACCAAGTTTAATTATTACAGTTACAGGGGGTGGAAAAAGTTTTAAATTTCCAAATCCGAAAACATATAATGATTTTCAACGTGGATTTGTTGCTGCTGCTGTAACAACGAGCAGGTCAATGACATTCAGTCGGCTCACTGGAACACAAAAACCGTGGCAATTTTTGACAGCGCACGCATTGTGCGGAGCGAACAATTACTCGTTTGCGCTGGTTTCCGAGAACGTCACGCATGATAAATGTTGTGTACACGTATGTTTGAATTATGTCATTTGTCAACTGAAGCAATATTTACCAGATTTGGAAGAGATTGTGTTCTCAGCGATGGAGCTGCATCGCAATTTAAACAACGACATCTATTTCAAAAGCTGACAAGAATGATGACAGAATATGTTTTAAAATTATCGTGGAATTTTTTCGCGACGTCCCACGGAAAAGGTGTCGTGGACGACATTGGAGGTACCGTGAAGTGAATTGTGTGCAAGAAATAATGACAAAGAAACACTTATGTGGAACAGCTACCGATTTCGTTGGTATCGCGAACCAAAAAACAAGCACGATTATTCTCAATGAAATCTCTCGAACTGAGATTGATGCATCGAAATTAAAACTTCAACAGTTATTCGCTAAGACAAATTCGGGCAGGAACACTCAGAAATTGCAGAACATCGTTCCAATTCATCCGGATGTTATCGAGTGCCGAACGTATGGCGATGCATCATCGAAATGGACTGTTTTTTTCTGATCTATTTTCTATGAAAGTGAACTATCCTGTTATCCTTTTTTCTCGAGCAAAACCTTGTTTAAGCATTATTTGAAACATTGACATAAAAACAGTAGTGACTGCTTGAAATACAAATGAATATCGTTACCTGGATATTCCCCAGCGAGATTTTCAAATGCGAAGCAAAATTTAAGAATTAGGAATTTCTTGAAAAAAATTATCTTTGTGCGTTACCTAATATTCTGTCAATCACTCGTTCATTTTTCGAGATATCAATGTTTTCTTTTCAGCAAAAGATAGCCCCGATTCTTAGCTACAAAAGCTCTCACGACTACCATTCATTCACATGAAGCCATTCGTAGGATTTGTCACTTCTTTCACATCTTCTTCGGAAAGAGGGCCTTATTTCTCTGTGCGTTACTGAACAATATTTTTTGTGTAAAACCCGATTGCATACAGGTAGAAAGTTGAAATTTTTATGGGAAGTAGAACTCCGTCGAAAACATATTTGCTAAAAGTTTCAACTCTCTAGCTTCATTTGTTCTCGAGATATACGCGTCTGGATTTGAAAAAATCTCTGTGCGTTACCTGCGTTTTTCATGTGATCTCGATAAAGCTTTGACCCTCATAACGGAATGTTCTTGAGCGAAGCTTAGTTGAAGCCTATAACGATCCAGTCACCACAATAAAGTGGACGCAGAGCGAGCTCTTCGTCAGACATGTACACACACTTCGAGTGCTTCTCCAAAATGGAATGTCACTGTGCGCCCAAGAATATTTCGTTGTGAGGACTACAGCTTCATCAAGCTGAATCGTTTCTGTTTGTGCGCCCTAAATATCCACGTTACATAATACAACATTGAAGAGTACTGAAGCAGTAGATTATTCTTTATCTCCTCCGCCTATCGAAATTAGTGGGATCAAACTGCAACGTGAACCTTAAATATGGATTAAAGTCACCACGATGAAATAGAGGTGCATTTACATTCCGAGGTCGTTAATCATAGATTAGTGTTTAACTATGTGTAATTTCGTGTATCTAATCATCGCAGTGATAAAGAGGTAACCTCTTTCTTTTTTTTTTTCATTTTTATCTTATTGTTTTGTATTTTCTTTCCAAACAGAAAGAGGAAACAAAAATGCACAGCACAGGTGAACACCGCAGGTCCCTTTTTTTCTGCTCAACACGTATTCGCTGCAGTTCTTAATTATTGTGACACTTGTAAAATAAGCATTCTGTGCTGTAGGACTACTATGAATAGACCACTTTTCGACTTATTTTCTTTTCATGTATATAGAAGCTAGTCTCTCTGACGCCAACACAGGCACATATAAACCCTAGTCGACTTTCTTGCGAGGGCTTTCTTGCCCAACATCTTGCGCAAGAAATGTCACAAGATCTTACTTTCTTGGTACAAGAAGTCTTTTTGATTTATGGTGACTATTCTTGCTTTCTTGCAGGGAATCAACTACCAGCAAGAATGGCTCTTTTGATCCAACTACCGGCAAACGAAATAAAATTGTCTCAGTCAAAGTTCGTCATCGTGTATTTAAAATGAGTATCAAAAATGTAATTCATTATCGAAGTTATCGAGCTCTTTTGAAGACTTAGATACACGAATCTAGACTAAAACTCTGTTGTAAGAGTTTAGCACCATTTAGAAATCGATTTTTATTCGTAAAGTCGTAAAAATAAACAAGCAAATAAACACAAACTAATAGAAGAAAAGACAAGACAATCACTCAGCTGCTTTATGCAACGGTCGCCATCTTTATTTTTGTTCTCTTCTTTTCTTTTGGTCATTGGACTGTCGGCATGGACTGTGTCAACAAGTGATTTTTGGCCAGTGGAACCGATTGGGTGAAAAATTCACAGAAATTCACTCTCGAGCTTTTAGCGATAAATTCAAAAGCTCGATTGGATTCTTCCAGTCAATTCTGAGAAAAACCCTAGATAGGTCTACAAAATCACGACTCCAATTATGAAAGATGAGAATCGGGGCGCTTCTGCCGGGCAGACCTTTAGTTTTTGAGATCAGTCAGACACCTGCATTATACGCAGTTTCCTGTGCTGGATCAGAAAAAAGGCCCTTATGAAATCTAGAAGATGAATAAAGTCGAAAATTTGAGTTTTTGAAAATCTGGTATGTTTTCGAATTTTGATATCTTTCGAATTTGTTCAGTTTTTCGACACGAAGAAACGTTTTCCAAGAATTAAAAACTGCACATTCGTAATCTGCTTTGGATTCTGCATCGAATGATGTATAATATATCATGAAAAACGATCTTCGTCGAATTTTGAATTAGACGAACCTCAACACGCTCATTCTCAAAGGGAGCCGAAAATTTTACAGATGTTAATGATTTGCTGTGAGATATTTTTCCTTTACCTTCATTTTAAACTTTTGTTTCCTTAGATAACAAATCGAGATCGAACTCATGGCATGTTTACGAAAGTTGCGCTTCTCAGGCTGTTTTCACCTAATATTAAGGGATTCACAACTCACTCCAAAAGCATACAGAAGGAATTGAAAAATACGCTATTCGCAAGTCACTCAGTTACGCTGTGTAGCTAGTGATCCATCATGAGATCGATGAAAGCAGGCTTTTGATAAATGCCTATCGAATCATATACTATGAAAAACCGTGGAAAAACCTCTGAAAACCCTGCAGTAACCCACACTGTATGAGCAGTACGGTTCTCGAAATTCTTTTGAGAATAGAAAAAATATTTTAATTCGAGTAACTTGTATTAATACGATTAATGGGCAAATTCAGCATGTGCTAATGCTACCCATAATAAGTAATATTGTACAAGGTAAAACAATGAATAGAAGAAACTCGTAAGGTATCATTTTTGCATCTTTTTTAGTTGTCTGATGAGAAACTAAGGTTGTCACATGATTCAGCATAGTTGATACCTTATGTGTAGTCCTTTCACGGTTAATGAGCTCTGTGCATCTCCGACGTGTGTGTCTCAGTAAAATTTATCTATCTATGAAACCATGGTAGAAAAACGTGTTTATTAAAAAATAGCAAAGTTTTAATCAAGTGTTAGTGTGAACTGAACGTGAACGCTAATATTATAGTATAAAAAACAGAGATGCTAGAAAATAAGTGAACTTGCGACGGTAGGTATATTCTAGTCAAGAAGTAAAATTGGAATTCAATAATAGGATTATATGTGTCCATTAGTTTCAAGTACATAATTTTAACATCTCAGCACAACATGTACTACATCCAAGAATACTAGCGCAAATTATAGTTAAAATAAGCAGAACAAATGTAAATATATATAACGTTTTATCACAATAAAGATCATTTTTGTTTTGAGCATTTGTATTCATATTATTTGTCGATATATATGGATCATATTGTACCTTATTTTTAATTGAAAATGTCCAGTAACAACCAAATCCTACCCAAATAAGAAATATTACACTTGATAATATTACAATTATACCTCTTACACGTGCAATTTTCTTTACTGCGGCACCACGACCTTTAGTTAGTAAAAGTAATGATACAACTTGTAAAATAACGCCTAATGTACCTGTAACCGTGAGAAATGAACCTTGAACGATTAAATAAAACGGTATACGTGGTTGAATTGGACAGTCATATCGAAATGTTGTACCTATAATTAATACTATAACAGGAATTGTTATTGTAAATATTAATGAACAACATGCAATAGCACCCACGCTCGAACAAAATATTGCTAGTATTGTCTTTTTATTGGTTTTCAATGCTTCCGAAATTAATTCATGTGCGACTTCTTCTGTAGTTCGTGTAGCTAATTTTGTTTCTTCTGTGACTGTGACATCCACGTTTTCATTTATTATTTGCTGTGTGGTTTGTGTATCCATTTTTTGTATCTTCTATGGCTCTTGAATCTACAAACGATTCGCTATTATTAATAGGCTTGGTTCAAATAAGACGGGGTGAGATGAGATGTGTTTTTCTCTTCGTTTTCCTTATCAAGCGTAAGGAGCCCAGCCGTCATCTAGCTGCTTTGTGCCAAATTCTTTCGTTCTCCGTCTCCGAATTTAGTGGAAATTTCAATGCCCTCTCACTGACATCCACCGACGAGTTGTACGAAAAAAGGCAAAAAGCTAGAAAAGGTACTTGATACTGAACAGAAACAGGCTAAAAAAGAACAACTCGGGCAAAAATTGAACCTGTGTCTTTTACATTATTAGACCCTTGAAATGTGCGAGGCAAGTCTCGATCCCGGTCATGGTCTCGCGGAATCAGAACTGCGATAAAAAGGAATTTTAATCGAGGTTGAGACTAAAGACATTTTCTCAGCTAAGACCAGCATCGCTTTTTCAAAAACCAGTTCGTGTAAAGTCGTGTTTTCCAGTGCAAAAATGGCTGTTTTTCGAACAGGGTTCAAAAATTTCTGGAAAGTTGGGCTCGATAAAGACACGGATGGGCATGAACGCGCACGAACAGACTTGAAAGACACACGGACGGGCATGGACGGACAACTGCTTCCCTTCGATGGGTCCCAGCTTCTCACGAAGATATTTTAAACTTTTTAACCAACAAAATGGTGCGAAGGTTTGAATTTTTTGTGTATGAAATATAGATGGTTAGTGGACTGCAACAGAAAGGACAATATAACATATACACGTGGACGAGAAGATTTTTTTCATATACGGACTATTCATAGGCGGAGCCTTAACAAAAAAATAATTCCAAAACTGTTGAATTTTCATTATTTTTAGTTCTAATGCAACTCTGAGCAGTTTTTGGATAAGTCTGATAGTTCTTTTTGAAGACAGTTTTGTAGAATTTTCAGAGTTCTATTCGGACAGATAAATCTTAAGATGAAATTAGACTCCTGAACGAAGTTAATCCAGAATCGATACGATTTATCCTTTCATATTTTCGATATTATCTGCCACTCATGGTCAGACAGAAAATAAAAAGCAGAATGTCCAACGACTAAATACGCATGTCTGATGATGTAAAAGACACAGGTTCATTTTTTATTCCAATCGTTCTTTTTATGTTTTGGCTTTTTCTTGTCAATATCAAGTACTGTTCAAGCCGTTTCTGCACTTTATTTTTAAATCTGGCTTGGTGGTACATAGTGTGGATCTCAAAGTTTTTACTGCTTTAGATGGCGGACGTCTGAACAATTTACCGCACCCCTATGTGTGACATTGAATCAAAGCAAAAGAACGAGAGCCATATATCTCATATCATCTCGTCTTATTTTGCGCGAGTCTGTCGAGAGACACACACATGCAGTCACCACAAAATGTAAAAATTTTTTCTTATTCTTTATATATTTTACATAGTCTATAATATGTAAACTGGATAATTTTTTATTTGTTGTCGGTCTCTTTCTTTTTCTTCTGAACAAACGGAATTTAATAATTTCTTTTTCATTTCATTCACTCACTTCACGATCGATGATTGTAAAAGAAAAAGAAAAACTATTGAAGTTTAACTTCGTTCTTACAACAAGTTATATTTTATTCGCCTTATAATTAATAGAGAAAAATATTTCTTTAATTTCTATGATTTTCTTTTTAAAAAAAGGTACTTACAGTAAAATGAAAGGTAAAGATGAAATTTTAGATTAAATTGACCACGAGCAATACCAATCGACAAAAACCATCATGCTTGACTATTGTTTGTAGAAAAAAAGAAAAGTGGACCGCATCATGCGAGCTGTCAAAGCGTCTCGCTTTATCATCAGGCAAACTTTATTCGTAAAATGAGAAAAAACTGGCTCTATTACATATAACAAGAAATAACTCATGTCCCTTCCTTATTGATCAACTTTATTGGGCCAATCACTTCTGCTTCGTTTTCAGAACACAAGCGTCAAAACAATGAAACGAGATTTCATTGTTTATCAAAGCATAGACTTTTTTTCGTGAATATGGCTCTCTCTCGATCTTCCTTTTCCTCTCGTACTTTTCAAATATCAAATTATTTGGTTCATCAAAGCTCATGATATGTTTTAGTGTTCGAACAAGCGAAGTGTGGCTTCAAACTATTTTTGAATTCTGATTTGAAACCATGCAACTGAGTGATCCTACAAAAGAGTGTTACTTTACTAAACGTCAAGAATATAAGTGGCTTTATGTTTTCCTGTCGAAAAGGTCTCCGCATACCATGAACAAACAAGCTGGAAAACGTTTCTTATTTATGTTCAATATCAATTCCAATATCATTTTTTTTGTAAATCTTTTATTAATTTAAGACAATCATGGAGTATCTTCTCATATCCATATTTCTTACTTACCAGCAGAAACACTCAGAGATCTTGGCTTCGCACGTATCGTAGAAAGAAGAAACCGTCAAAAAACCACCATTACAAAGAAACTAATCTTAATAAATTTTCGAGTGTCCAGTAAAACATGCCAACTAATCTGTCTTTAGATCGTAACAGATTTATAACTCACAAATGATCGTAGTACAAAATGATTTTTAAACTTTTTTGTATCGCAAAATACGGTGTTTTCTTGACAAAACGTTATATCGTTCTGTTATTGAGATCAATAATTAATTAATATTGATGATAAAATTAATTAAAAATTAAATAACAATGAAATAAAAAATACGATTCAACTCAAACTCAAAGTATAAACGTAAGTACTTTTCTTGTAAGTGTGATCGTTCGTCGTTTGTCTGTTTTCTTACTTATCTAAAATTTGACTTGAAGGCTTTACATTCATCCCTACTGTATCAATCGTGAAAATTATTACAACATTTAGATAGTTGTTTTAAACAGCCATATGTTATTTTTCTCGTTGATCTTCTTAGTATTGAATATTACTGCTTCTAAGAAAGCCCACGATATGTTATAAACAACTCTCTCAGAAACTTTGGACAATGCGCTCAAAAGAGGCATCGGACTATAATTATATAAATCTGAGGTTCATCAGCTTTAAACAAAGGCACAACATATGCAGTTTTCCAAATACTGGCAAACTCCTTATTGTTGAGTGGCTTATTAAAGAGGTGAGCAGCAATAGGAACAATAGTAACACTAGGAGCAAAGGAACAAAAGGAGCAAGTAGTAACAATAGGAGCAACAAAGTCATTTTTTATAGTTTCTGAAAAACTGGTTTTCCAGAAAACCGGTTCTTCAAGAGCCATGGAGAGAATTTGTTTTAGGCTTCTTACTACCTCACCATGGGCTATCGATCCATGTATAAATCATTGGAATCGGGATGGGACATCTCGAGAGGTTCCCTCGTCAGTTATTCCGCCTCATTCACCGGTTGCTTCTAGTAACGAACTAGTTCTAGCACCAAAATCTACGGAGATACATCCTCTGAAAGTCCAAGCATGAGTACTCGGTGCTTTACATATGGCAAATGTATGGGTAGAACTCACAAGTGAATGAACCAAAAGACATCAACCTCTCTCACTTTTATCTCGACGTCAACTTCCAGTTACATGTCGAACTAGAACTGAGGATTGCTGTGCAAAACTGAGTAAATTTGAAAGAGATGTTTCTTATAGACTCCACAGCCGAAAAATCAGATAGTTCAAGTTGAGGAAAAAGGAGCCGAGATTGCTAGAGGCGTCCTCTGAATCTGCGATTCCACTCTTTATTCACACCTACATTTTCTTTTTCGGATAAGGATCGTCGTGTGATGGTAACATCTGGTGATTGAAAGCATTAAAACTCGATTGCATCACGTTCACGAAGGAAACTCTAAGTAAAACGCGAAGGTGTCAAGTCTAGAGAACGAACTACAGCTTTTCACAAAGCGGCAGATCGATCAGGCATAATTTTCCTGACAAAGGTGGCGTAGTCACGGCAAGTTTAGAGTATGTAAGTTGATCTGGGTATTTCTCAGAATAATCAACAAAAGTAATAACTGAGCAAGCACCAGAGTCCTTGCGGCGATTATTTCCTGGAAGTAGAAAAACAATCAACAGTCGAGCAAGACGCAGCCATTCTAAGTGTCTACTGATTGAAAAGTCTACCGAAATTAAAAGTATTCAAGCAAAAATGCTCTACGGAGAGAATCTAGCTTCATCGACTACATAACCGCGCGGTTATTCACTTGCTAGCTAATTGTACCTTTTTACCTAGTTAGGGAGCTCCAACCTAGTCGTGAACCGAGTGGTAGGTTATCATAATCGAGTAGGAGCGGGAGGTTGGCATCTAGGTTAACCGCCTAGTTAACCGGTTAAGCTAGATCCGAAGACGAAAAATATTTGATTAGAGGAAGGTGATCAACTAGCTTAACCTAGCAGGTTAATCGGGCGGTTCGAGTGTCCGCTTGACCGAGTGATTGGAGCACCGGTTGGAGTGCCCGGTTAACCGGGTGCTCTAACCTAGCTTAAAAAAACGAAAAAAGATATGTGTCGAATGAGAATCAAGCTCGCTGACCAGCACACTCAGAATTGAGACTAGAAGTACGCGGCGTTTTAACCAACTAAGCTACCAGGCACACATGTAGTAGTTGATGAGTGATGAAATCATTCAGAACATATTTTAGAGATTTGTGTTTTCCCTTTGAAAAAAGCATTTTTGAGAGTTAAATCTGCAACATAAAATGTAGTAAATTTAATTTTCTAAATCCTATGTTTTGGGACCAGATTCTCAGAAATCGTTCTTTCTGATAGAAAACAGTAAATATCGTTTTCAACGGCGAAGATCGATTTGTACAAAGTTGAGCTCAGCTGATAAAATTTAAGAATTTAAGTTTGCCATATCTTTGTCTCAAAACTCAACTTTGGAAAACTTTTTTTTCATGGTGAAAAATCAAAAATATCATCTTTTTGCCTAATTTCCAAGTTTTCCCCATGAAGGAAAACTTTCTCAAAGTTGAGTTTAGAGACAAAAATATGATAAATTTAATTTTTCAAATTTCATCTTTGATGCCCAACTTTGTACAAATCGATATTTAGGGTGAAAACTGATATTTACTGTTTGTTACACTGAAGAACGATTTCTGAAAATCTGGTCTCAGCACATAGAATTTAAATTTGCTACATTTTATGTTGCAAATTTAACTCTCAAAAATGTTTCCTTCAAGGAGAAAATACGAGAAAGCAGTAAAGTATAACCCTCTGGCAGATTCGAATCTACAAAAGGGTTGTACTTTTCTGCTTTCTTTCTATTCGTAGTAAAATTGATTTATAAGTTTGTTCAAGCGTCTGCAGTTTTAGAGTTACGGTTTTAACAACTCTGCTAAATGCCAGCAGTTACAATTTATTACTAGATAAATAAATGGCTTACACACACTTTTTTGGGAATAAATGGCTCCTTATCGTGCCAAGAAAAAATGTCTCGTAGGGGGGAATTTTTAGCATAAAGGGCTGTTTTCTAGAATAAATGGCTTTTTTCCTAGCATAAATGACTAAGCCATTTATTACTTCCTAGAATAAATGGCTGTATGGGCGACAAGAAAAGCTTAGCACTGGAGTTCGCTCCCTAGACAAAAAAAGTTTGTGAAATCGTATAAGAATCTCACAAGAATTCATAAGAAATTGGTAAGAGTCAGCAAAATTCGTACGTTATTCTTATCAGATTGTTATACGATTCTTATAAGATTCTTGTTGGATTCTTATGAGAAACATGATCGAATCTCCTACAGAAAATTCCCAGTATAGTGCTGAAAAACGTCCGACACTACCAGTGCGGACGGCATGCTATGTTGCACCGGTACGTACTAGTTCCACATTTTTCCAGTCACCATTTGTTATCTACGATTGTACTATGTTTTTTTTCGAGACCATGGTGCAATGAAATTTTAATGCGAGCAGACAATGCTGGGTACTTCCGCAAGGTCCGCCCAGTATTACATGAGCTAAAAGCCGGGAAGGTTTGAATATATGCAATCGATAGTCCTACTAAAGGTAAACACTTCTTTCAGGCACTGGCGAATGTCGTATGGACATTCGTCAATTACGGCGAATGTCAGTTGGCGAAACACGACTTTACCTACAGGAAAGGAGAAAATTTCATGAAACTATAAAATGGACTTCTTTCGCGGTTTGATGGAAAAAATTAAAAACTCAGCGTTGGAAAAAGGATCATGAAATACTGGGAGAGGTCTCATTTTGTAGTCCACTTTCTTCTACATTAGGCAATGTTCAGCTCAAAATCCAAAATATTTCGAAAAAGAGGGGTGCAGTATCCTTAACTTAATGACCGATAAAACGTTTGAACATTCGAAGAAAATATGCTGTTTTTAACACCACGGTTTCAACTAAGTTCACTGACCGTACGTATTTTTACGTTTTGTTTGAAATTTCAAATTTTAACATGCTCCGGGCTTGGCAAATGCAGATGATTACCTCTAGATTTTACGAACACACCATCTGAATCTCAGAGTTCGTAGTATCCACTTTCAAAAAACAGGAGCAGGAGAGGATTTCTTCCTTGGAAAAATAGATAATATAAATAAATAGGTAGATAATATAGATAAATTTTTCCAGAAATACAGGAAATAAGCGAATGTAGAAAAACGACAAGTGAGATTTATCACAATGTGTTAAATAATATATTGCCAGATATAAAATAAAAATTCACTGAATCTTATTTAAAAAATGTTATACAGCATTAAAACATAGTCATCGATAATCGTACGTATCAAGCTTATATCTCTTTTTAATTATCCGTCCAGTATTATTATTGTTGTTTTCGTTCATCTTCCTCCTTTTCTATACGTACAAAAACTAGAGGTGGATGGGACTAGCCTTTTTTTGGTCCCGATCTCGTAGTTAATTGTTTGGTCCGATGAAAAGTTTGGCCTAAATTGTTAGTGCCTGAAAAATTCTTCTCTCGTTCTAACCTGCGAACCGAGAACCGCGGTCCTCTTCTACGTCGGGAACCGGAACCACGGTTCTTTTCGATTCGGTTCTAACTCGAGAACCGAGAACCGAACATCCTTACTTACAAGAAATGTATTTCTTGCTATGATAAAGCGTGTTAGCAAGAAAAAGCAAAAAAATAAAATGTCAGGACTGAAATTTGAACTCATAAGTGAGATATAGTCTATAGCTTATAATAGTCAGAGTCCCGTGCCTTACCACTCAGCTATTCTGCTTAGCTATCTTATTCCCTTCCACTACCCATGAAAAAAAATTCAGAAAAAAGAAGGGTGAAGAACGCGTTCTTTTGGAACTCGATCTTCTCTTGAAAGAACGCGTTCTTTTGAAACTCGATCTTCTCTTGAAAGAACGCGTTCTTTTGGAACTCGATCTTCTCTTGAAAGAACGCCTTCTTTTGCAAAAGAAAACGTGTTCCTCTCTGCAAGAAACACGTTGAGGAAAAAATCGTTCTTAGACAATAAAAACGCGTTCAAAAAGAACGCTAGAAGCGTCTTCAGGACGCGTTTCTGTCGACTGGTAGAAAAAGCTTTACCGCTCCGGTCTCCCCAACTCTTTGTCAGTTCTTCCCGTCTCTGAACTCGTTCCTCTCCTAGCTCAGTCTCCGTTCTCAAATAACGCGTTCTTTTAGTAGTGGAACGCAGTCTCAGTCTCAAGGAACGCATTCGAGAGCGTTTTTCTTTCCTTTGTCCTACATTTGACCTGACGTCTCGTCAGAGCTACAAGCGATAGTAGCGAAAAGAAATAGTAGCAAACTTTATTATATTAAGCGGCTATAAAATACTTTCTCTCACAAAACCTGAAAGCCCTCTTATCGACGAGAGATTTTTCAAAGCTTTTAAATTTTAAATTTTGCAAGTCTGTCTCACTGAGTCTTTCTCTTATTTTCTGATTAGGCATTTCTAATACTGTACCCGCTCAAAACGCTTAATTTTTGTCTTTCCTTTAAAAAGTTTTCATCATATTTAATTTCCCTTCTTTCAACATAGTAAATAGTTTTATCAGCAATCCGTTGTTCTCTACAGTTATTGCGCAATTACTACCACGTTGACTTAAAGTCAACGTGGCAGTTATTGCGCAATAACTGTTATACGTCATCTGAATACGCCAGCCACGTATTATATTTCTAAAGCTTTATAAATGAGGCAGAATATGTCACTTTATTCACCTCCAAACAACCATGTCTTTTCTTTGGAATTGGTTAGCTGGATCATTTCAAGATTTATTAACATACTGGTTTTCTAGTAAACCATCAACAGTTTTATTAATTGGTTTAGATCATGCCGGAAAAGTAAGAAATTTTGAAAATTACTTTGCTGAAATGATTTATATTGTTTATTTTAGACAACATTAACCGGTCGGTTAACAAATAACCGTCTCATACAAGCTCCGCCCACATCCCAACCCATTCATCATCAAGTACAAGTGGGTAAAGTCACCATTGGTCTCACTGATCTAGGTGGACATATACAAGCACGACGTCTGTGGAAAGACTATTACTTTAGTTCAAGTTCAATCATATTCGTCGTTGATGCGAGCGATCGTAAACGATTCAACGAAGTCCGATATGAGTTGTTGAATCTGTTAGATGATGATGATATGAGTCAAGTGCCCATGTTGATACTGGGAAATAAAATTGATTGTCCCGATGCATCTAGTTACACCGAACTTGTGCAATTACTCGGAATTGAACGGTATTTGTGCGACGAGCCAAACCGAAAAGTGAAATTGTGCATGTGTAGCATTGCTAACGACGAAGGCTATGGCGATGGAATTCGCTGGCTCGTTCGACAGCAACAGTAAACTTTGAGCTTGTGTCTATGCTTTTTTACATCTCTTGAGACGTCTAGAGAACAAATGGTATTAAGGACCCGTCTACAGCCTAACTACACGCGCTCTTCAATATCATATACTTTTAATTTAAAATGTACCTCTACTTATATCACATCTGGAATCCCTACTGTTAGTAGCTCATTGTTAGATCTTGAAGTGAGCATAGTAATTCTCGTTAATAGCATAATTCTTCTCGTAGTGTAAGTAAGTGGTCAGGCTGGCATTTTTGTTTCCATATAGATGATATAACGTGACATCTGGATCCCAAACGGCAAAAAATTTATTCCAGTTTCATGCTTTCAAGTATGGCTGTGGCCAAGATTTTCAAGTTTCGATATTTGTTTCGCTACGAAAATCGCTTCGACTCTGTTTGTTAGGAGAAGAATATTGTTAATGATCAAAGAAAGAACTTCAACCTGTTCTCTAGGCGTCTCAATCTTTAAGTATTTCGTACGTTTTGAGATCTGTGATGCAATTGTATTTTGCTTTCTTGATGACTTATATTCATGTATATTCAATTTATTTGGAATTAAGAGACGTTAAGGACGAAAATATAATTAATAGCTATTTTGTGCAAAACTGTTTATATAACACGTTTACGTCTGTCTTCTATGGATCGGTTGTTCGAGAACCTTTTCGCATCGACATGACGTTTGATCGTTACGTATGAGTGATCTTTAAATGTAGTTTTTAGACACTTTATTGCATACCCAAGCTACGCGTCTATCATATTTTAACATTAAGAATTATAGCCTCAGACAAAAAAATACTAAAAAACAAGAACAGAAACGGTTCTTCATGCTAAGCGTAACATGTATACATCTATCGCTAAATTTTATTAAATTCTCAGGGTCTACACATCTAGCTATTCGGAGAACATTGAGTGCGAAAATAAAAGGATAAAATATCTTTTGCAGACAACTCATACGAACATTATCTTGAATCAAATTTTAGTTCGTGTTTCCCGCTGATCCTATATGGACTAAAACCATGCAAAAAATTTTCCTTCGGATAATGGTCATGCCAGATGTCTGGTGAAAACATTTTTTAAAATAATTTTAACCTTCTTTTCTCTCATGAAATTCTAAATCACTCCTCTTTCGAATGAAACATTCTTGCCCAGAGTCTTTTCTCGAACACCGTAGTTTTTTGATTAAATAGGATAGTTCATCAAGTCACAAATTGAAATATATTGTATACAGTGCTGAGATCACTGCTTGCTGCTTTTAATCCACCATTAGCTATCATTTCGTATTACGCCAATAGACGATCTTGCTCCATTCTAGAAGTGGACTGACAAAACACGAAACAAAAGTAATTTTTGTAATTTGGCTATGTTATACACAATGCGAAAATTATGATTTGAAAATTGAATTAGATTTGCAGTTCTCTGTCAGAATGATAACGACTAGCTATATAGAAAAGCATGGATTTAAGTGATCAGTAAAATAGATAGTATGATCAATATGATAAAATATTATAAAATCAGTTAATTGAATGAATGATCAGTAACATTGAACTAGTAGTAATATTGAACTATCAGTAAGCTATTTAAATGATCGGTTATTAAATAAACAGCGTCTTTAATAAATTTTCAGATCAGTAAAAGCAGCAAATTTAGAAAGGTTTTCGAGAAAGTGCAGTTTTCGGTAATAAAAGTTTTCGTAGAAAGAACAAGCAAGCAAACAAGGAATTACTTTTTTGAGTTCAATTCGTCAAAATAAACTGTCAGCTCGAGCTCCATGAATCCAAGTTGTGTTTATTCAGACTCCAAAAAAAGTGACGTTCCTAGCAAAAAGGCGAAAAAATGGATAAAGTTTGCGCTAAACTAATCACAGTAAATTTGTTTGAAAAACGTGGCATATCTATATGATTAAAGGATCACTACGCTATTTTGAACAAAAGACAATATATATTTAGAGGTTTCTTGGCGTTTCTGATGCCAAAAAGTTAACATTTTATCCTGATTCAGTCCTCTGTCCTCACTGCACATATCTCATGTTAGTCTCAGCGTTTAAGATTACTGAAAAAAAGCAGAGTTTAATACACGCAGCCAAACGTCTTTTGGTTTTTTATTCAGATAAATGAGGCCTTTCTGTCTATGTAGCCAAGTATTATCTACATAACATAGTGCTAAATTCAAAATTCTACATCAAAATGGAGTAAGGCTTAAGCCTTACCCAGGCTAGTCGTTCCGCCGCCTCTGCTGACAAGTACGACATATGTATTCTTTTCTTCGATTCATCTCTACTACGATTTTCATTTTTCATGAAAATCTCAGTAATTCTTCGACGTGAAAATTCAAAAAAAATTAAAGCGATCGAATAGGATAAAGAAGCACATCATTCGACTCAATTTCTGACACTGATTCGAAATATGATATTTTTACTGCGTGAAAGTTAAGTTCTGATGGAGAAAATTGCGAATCGGTGTCAGCATTGAGATATACGGACAAACTATCCAAAGACGCAATGACGAATCGCAATTTTCAAGCGTAAAAATAATGCCACAACCCGCATATTACACTTATTTTGAGAATTCGCGGAGAATTGATACGAACTGTATCGAATTCACACGGATACTCCTAAAAACTTTTACGAATTCAACTTACGAATTCGTAAACATCCGACTAGATCAAACACAATGCTAATCAATTCGCAAAATTCGCACTGATTTACGATTCCAAAACAAGGGTAAAATGCGAATTATTGTATCATTTTTACGCTCATATATTACGATTCGTCAGTTCGCCTTTAGATACTTTGTCCACACTAACGTTTGTTCTGCGTGTCAAGGCGCTTCCAATGTCATAAGAACGAAAGCTCTATCTTTTAACGCCAAGGACGAGATAGGTTTGCAAGATGACCCCCGTCCAATTTGAATTAAGTAGGAATCCATAGATCTCAACTAGACAAGCCTTTGTGAGACATGCCCTTACCACCAAGTCTAGGGAAATGTTTTATCCTAAGGTACTTCTGTCGAATAATATGCAGTAGCTGACACAAAAACGATTTGCTTCATAGAAGTAGTTTCAACTCACATGTCTATCTTT